GTAAACCCTCAGTACCTGAGTTAAATAGACAAGAAGTTTATATTTACAGAGGGAGTAGCTACAAAGCCAAAAAAAACAGACAGTCTTCACCACATCTGTATACAAAGTCGCAGTCTTTGAGACTCACCACTGCTGTCTTGGCTTGCTGGGATGGCAGAGGTCTGAGGTTGCTCAGTGCTATTCGCATTATTGGTAGCATTCCTGGTTGAGGCTGTAGCCAGTGCATCGCTTACTGTTCCATTAAAAACGTCACTGGTTGTGGTTGCAGTCGGTGCCTGTGTCGCAGTAGTAAGTAGAGTAGACTGATTATCACCGCCCTGTGCCTGTGGCGATGTCAACACTCCTGGAACTGACGTTATCCTGCTTGGGGTCACTGCTCGTCTTGGTGAAGTGACATGTGTAGTACGTGTGCTGGGTATAGTCTGTACTGCATCGGTGGTGGGCGGCAATGTTGACACTGATGCTAGTGGAGTTGTGGCAGTACTGGCAGTAGGCGTATCTACACAGCAGAAATCATGAACATAACACAATTGCATGTACAGTAAAACCTGTCAAGGCGACCACTTGGATAAGGCGACCACCTGTCCTAGAAGACCCCTGAAACCAGGGTCAAGGAATGCTATTTCCAGTCAAATGACCCTGGATAAGGAGACAGCCTGGTAATGGAGACCACATTTTGAAGGTCCCTTGAGTGGTCGTCTTAGACAGGTTTCACTGTACATGCATACCGACTATCGTACATCCACAATGTCTGTGCTGTTCCCCACTCCTCTTCACCCCCCCCTCCCCCCCCCCCGAAGTTCCCTGGTCGGAGAGCTGCTGGAAGTGGTGGTGGGGCTGCAGCGGTGGCAGCGGTGGTGGTGGTGGTGGTGGTTTGGTTGTGTATATTTGAATTCGCAAACCGAACGGATTGAATATGTCCGATGACAAGGAAGCGAATCAGGTCCAAGGAACCCAGACATGGGAAAACTTGGAAAGGAGACACAGATGAAAAGAAAATATGGAAAATGTGGTTGTGGTGGTGGTGGTGGTGGTGGTGGTGGTGGTGGTGGTGGTGGTGGTGGTGGTGGTGGTGGTGGTGGTGGTGGTGGTGGTGGTGGTGGTGGTGATGGTGGTGGTGGTGGTGGTGGTGATGATATTTGCTTGAAAAGTGCTCTGTCTCCAGAACTTTCGTAGAGACATTATGAAGCCTGGTACATGTATGTAGTTTGCTTTAGGTCTTTGGGAAGATTACTGCATTATCACATCTTTAGGAAGATTACTGCATTATCACATCTGATAGAAGTGTGAGAATGCCAAACACATCTCGTGTCAGCTATTGTTTTAATTTCCAATTCCAGAAGGTAAGATTATGTCACTGAAGGTTTTGGAAGACATCATGAATCTATGGTACAGTGAACCTCTGACAAGACATCATGTGACCCCCATAGGCATAGGCATAGGCATAGGCATAGGCATAGGCATAGGCATAGGCATAGGCATAGGCATAGGCATAGGCAAAGGCTGGGTTTCCTACGAAAGGCAGCACCCATCCTGGACGACCATGGTCGAGTGACGGTCTACAAGGGATTCGTGCGACCCCTACTTGAATATGCCCCACTGGCCTGGTCGAGCGCAGCCGCAACTAACATGGCCCAGCTGGACAAGGTTCAGCAACGTGCCCTGCATTTCCTGGGACCTGGAACCATCCTCCAAAGTCTTCAGCTTCGTCGGATGGTGGCAGCCCTGTCATACTTGTTCAAGCTGCACTACATTCCAGGGCCTCCCCAGGTAAAGGCCATGCTGCCACCAACCAAGCCCCCTGCCGTAGCTAGCATGTGCACACGGCAAAAACGTCAGACGCACCATGCCTTTCAGCTGAAGTGGACACCCCCTCGCACAGCCCCTGACTACCTCCTGCGATCCTTCCCCTTCTTCGCCATCACACCCTGGAACAACCTGCCTGCGGACCTCCTGCTTCACGAGCCTCATTCAAGACGCCTCCAAACCTTCAAGGTCAACGTATGTAAGGATCTAATCCGAAAGAGATGGCTGTGGTCCACACAGTACCTGTGACGATGATATTGAGATTTGAGACCCATTTAGTATTCACCTCTCTACTACTACTTGCTTGTTATGATTATTGTTCTCTTTCTTCATTTTCCCTTCTGGTTTAGTCATTACACGTATTTATATTATTTGGTGCAATACTAGCGCCCCTTTCTCGCACCAAATTATTATTTTTGCTACCTGACCATGCAACCCCCCCCTTTTTTCGATGCCAGGTTGCAACGCTAACGCCGAGACCCCTGGTCGGCCGAGTTGCTCCCTGTACATCGGCACGTCGTCCCTACATCCCCTGTGTCTTGTCTTGTGTTTGTCTCCACATGTCTCTTTGTAGGGCTGTGTTCCCAATAAAAAATAAATAAAAAAAAAAAAAAAAAAAAAAATAGGGAACAGGGAAATTCATAGAATACTTTACAGTACCCAAGGTACTTCTCATCCGAACAGTCATGTTGGTTGGTTGGTTGGTTGGTATGTTTATTTTACTTCGCCAGAATGAACAGGCATTATTGCCTTCTTGCCTGGACAAGTGGATTGTCCAAGCTCTCACAAAAAGACGAGGACATGTATTTCATCATTGGGCGATACACTCCTACCCCGTACAATGTCCATTTTAAAGATTGTTGGTCTTATCAGAGGATGCACTTGTACTAGGTGAATTGCACTGTAGAATGCGAAGTGAATTTACTTCGGAAATGCACTGCATACAGTGGACAGTATTTTTTATTAAAATCTGCATGGTGCTGATTCGGCCTTACCGCATGAGCTGGTACTAGCAACGGAGGATGGCGGTAGTGGTTGACCGTTGCATGTGTTGCATGTCCTGCCCGCTGCTCCGTGCGCACACGTACATGGTTGTGTGGCGTTGCCAGGGTCAAACATTCGGCCATGACCATTGCAGAAGGGTAACCCAATGACTTGCAGCTCAGCGAGTGCGTAGAACAAGGAGATGTCGGTGCTTGCAGGCTCTTCGATTCCCAGGAAAGTTAATCGGATGCTAGTTGTGAAAGGTGTCCGAGCCAGAAACTCTTCCATGTTAGTTTCATTGGTGAACGCTGTGGCCACATCTCTTATGCCTACGAACTCTAGCATTGGAATCTCCTGCAAGGTTGATGTCTGCGTGAAATTCGTGCAGGATGATAGGCTCGGAGTCGATGGACAGTTACGTCGAAAGTTAGCCAGCCTTTCCCATGTCAGACCGTAGTCGTGCGACCTGTCAACCTCCAGCCCTGTGAGTGGCTGTGACTGAAAGTTCGGTAAGTCCATTTGCACTTGAAACAGGATCAGGGAGGGGAGATTGAAGTCCATCTGCAGCTGGACACGTTCATTGGATGACTGCAGATTGGAGGACTGCCATCGCGACACATCTGAGGTTTGTCCATCTTTGAGATTGCCGATGGAAAACAGTCGAGAACAGTTTCTGCATTCCGCACCGTCCTGCCCCTGAATGCAGTAGACCTCATTGCTGCACGTGCTGCTGCTACGCACGTCCGTCAGTGGAGCTCTGCCCAAGTCCAGAGGAGGAAATGGCGTACAGGGCATTGGACCGCCACTGTCCTCCACGCATGATGCGGACAAGTCGTTGAGAAGTTTTATCGCTTCCAAGTCGCTTGTAACCACTGCACATGCACCAACGATACACTGCAGCAGACACCACGTGCATGATCCTAGATTCCTAGCCATGGCCAGTTCCCCACACTACTCCTTCAGCTAGTTGGAATTTGTTTGACAGGATAAACTGCCTACGATATAGCCCAAACACGCACTCCACGCTTTCCATTGGGATCTGAGAGCTGAACTGCGAGCGAATGATTATAGAGGAGATAGCAAACCTTCCTCAGGCTCCGATCGCAAGGATTGACACGGTTGGCTGGAGTGACTTTTGAAATCCGAATGATCGCACGCCACCTGCCGTTTGTGATGAAAGATTGCATTGGTGTCACTGTTGCTGTTAGTCATGATTATGATTGTGGACAAACCTCAATAGTTGCTCAACTCTGGCCCGGGTCTCCTTCGCACACACACACACGTTCACTGGCATGACACAGCGCTAGCGCCGCACACTATGCTACAACATCATGGCGTTCTTCAACTCTATCAAATGTACCGGGCAAGTATTATTAAAGTAATTAGTTAATAGTTAGTTCCAGGGCTTATGCAACACTATGATCTATGCATGTACTAGTACTTTACCCATGGTATGGTAAAGTCTGACGTCTTTGTCTCTTCAAGAATCCAGGGCGTGCTATTTTCGCCGTTGGTAGCTCGATCTCCCATCGATGCATCGGGCTCAGATAGGGAATTGAGGAAACATTAATAATTCAAGTGGTTTGAAGAGGGCCTTCAGGATCAGAGGTCTGTGCCAGGTTGCAATCTCTTGTAATTTCATGTTTTGGATATGGCGCAAGTGGGCCTTGCTCAGTCCATGTCCCACACGTACCCGTACATGTATACATCGCATGATTCCCTGGGAAGTAACAGTTTATGACCATCGAGATGCGTGTTGTGCCACGACTGAACACAAGGTGCCGTTTTTAATCGCCCATTCTTTTGTTAAAACACGTTCGTCCTGATCATGTCATGATTCCGGAGTTGTAGACTGCCTAAGCTAATGACTTACTGGAAGTTTGGAACCCTGCTATGATTTTCCGTGTGGAAGTGATCTGGAGATCAATACGAGGGAAAAGGTCTACGCACACTTCCCCTGTTCTACATGTATCCTTGCGCGTGCTATGTTCAGTTCTCATATCCCGGTATCCGTGTAGCACACAATCATAACCATTGCATGTAGACCTACACTTGAATAAGAATAAAAATAAAAAATAAATAAAAAACGTGTATGATGTTGATGTAGATCTACATGACATTGGTACATACTCGTACATGTACATTATTGTACGCTAACAGCGGGAAAACTGGGAAGGTTTGCCAGAGCTCTGAGTTCTAAGAACGCGTGC